CTCTCTCTCTCTCTCTCTCTCTCTCTCTCTCTCTCTCTCTCTCTCTCTCTCTCTCTCTCTCTCTCTCTCTCTCTCTCTTGCGCACGCGCGCGCGTGTGTGCGTTCACTCGTTCGCAGTGCGTGTGCAGCACTTCTCCAAGTGAACACGGGGAACGCTTGACGCGCACAGCACGACTGTGTCGCGTGCGAACGCTGCCCCCGCTATATATCGCCCCGCGACGAAACGCATCAATCCCGTTCAATGATTTTTGTTTTTTTTTTCGGGACTACAAGTCCACGACCTCCTCGCGGGCTCCCCTTAACACCGCCGACGCTCCCGTGGCCTCAGAGGCACCCCCCCAGCCCCGACAGACCCCTGCACGAACGCGTCAATCGCGTTCAGGGGCGTTCAGTGAACGCGCGTTCAATGAACGTGAGGTAACATAGATTTTAATTTTTGATTTAAAAAAAATCTTAAACAAAGTGGGATTCTAAAAAAAAAAAAAAGGAGTGTAGGTTTTTTCAAGCCCTACACCCCCATATATATATATATATATATTTTTACGTATTTTTAGGGGGGGGGGGGGAAATATTAAAAAACCAGGCCGCGGACTGGGTCTTATCGGCCGCGGCCGAGAATCTCGGTCGCAACGACCGAAATGCCTACGGCCTAGGCCGCGGGTGTCACATAGGTGTTGGGCGCCGTGTGTGTTGCCTGGTGCTTCACAACGGCGTAGCTCGCTGCTGTTGTATTCCGCTTTTGGGTCCTTTCCGTTGTCGCGTGTCGGGTGGTTGTCGTTTGGGTGTGGGCTTGTGCCCCCCAAACGGGTGTCATGCTTCATCTCCACAGACGTTGTCTTCCGCTTGCAGCCGTCTTTGGCGTTGTGTAGTATACTGGCGTTGAGTGTGTTGCCTGGTGCTTCACAACGGCGTCACTCGCTGCTGTTGTGTTCCGTGTGTGGGCAACCTGCTTTCAACAGGGGTCAAAGGTTTCATGACCTAACACATCCAAAACTGGGGATGCCGCAGATTGTCGAGGGTTCAGCCTCCTGATGAGTCGGTGCAATTCCGACGAAACAATCTTGTTATCATCAGTTTATTTTTTTCGGTTTTCTGATTTACTTGGGACTTGTATTTTTTTCGGTTTGCCTGCTATCGTATGCTTGCGTTGTTGTTTCATGTTCTCACATGTTGTCTGCCTTCCCCCCTCCCCCGTGCCCTCCAGCTTATTCCTTGATGTCCTTTTGCTTGCTTTGCTCTGTTGCTTTTCTCGTCTACCTGGTCTTGGCATCCCCTTGGGACTTGTTTGCTGTTTTTTTTAGTTTGCCTCCTGGTGTGGTTGCACGTTGTCTGCCCTCCAACCATTGTATCGTTAGTATCTATCTTGTGGACACTGGGCATCCTTTGCTTGTAAATGCACTTGACTGCGAGGCGTTGGAACTTGGAACGCATCTTAGGGAGATCATGTTGAGTCTAGTCCCTAGGGAAAACCATGTCTTGGTGTGAAGCTGATAATTGGGGTTTACAATATACTTATATACACACACACACAGACACACAAACACCTCTCGCTCTCTCTCTCTCTGTCTGTCTCTCTCTCTCTGTCTCTGTCTGTCTGTCTCTCTCTCTCTCTCTCTCTCTCTCTCTCTCTCTCTCTCTCTCTCTCTCTCTCTCTCTCTC